TGATCGGACTCGTCAATCACAGATTGCGTTGAATCTTTATTCCATTATGGCAGATTTGATTTCCCAAAATCATGGAGCTAATCCTGATTTGCTGATGTAGTACTGTTTCTTTCCTTGTACATCGTAAGTATTTCAGGCAGCTTCCCTTCTGAATGATTTCCTTCCTTGTTCGACATAGCCGTTCCAATAGTTCCTTTTTACTTCTTTGAACTCCTGCACATGCATATTAATTGCATCATTAAAATATGATCTAACAACAATAGACCAGCACATCAGCAGTACAATAATAATAATAATAATCCTGGAGCTGCACGACCATAGGGTCAGGTTGTGCCTTATCAAAGGCAACAAGGGTATAATCAGCAGAATCAGTAGCTAGCTTATCAACAACCTCAACAGCAACAAACAGTGCAACAAGATGATGGATTGTTTGAAACTAAAGGAATGCTGCAACAACTCATTGGGTCCAGCGGAAAAATGGAAGAAAAGGTCCACCAGATGCAACAAAAGGCACACCAGATGCACGAAAAGGTAGTATTACATAACTCAGCTATCAAGGGCATTGAGATTCAACTAGGGCAAATATCCATGGCCCTTAACAATCGTCCTCAGGGACGTTACCTGCGGACACACATGGTAACCTGAAGGAGCAGTGCCCGAAGCAGCTGATGGCTGTGAGTCTAAGAAATGGTAGAGATCTTGATTTAGAGAAATAAATCGCTCGCGAGAGTCGACCAACTGAGATACTTGTGCTAGTACCAATTGAGGTAGTTGAGTCAACTGAGCTAACAGAAGTAAGAGTCTAGCCAACCCAAGATGAATAAACAAAGAAAAAGAGGTTGCAAAGGGGACTGAGAAGGTGCAAGAGAAGGCATTAGAAAAAGTGCCTCAGCGGGATCTAACTCAAGCCACAGGAAAGAAGAGACCTCCAACACCCTTTCCACGGAAGTTGGCCAAATATTAGAAGGATGAGCAATATAAGAAATTCATATAGATGTTATAGCAGATTCAGGTGAATATCCCACTGATGGATGCCTTGAGGGAGATTCCCGGTTATGCAAAAATGATGAAGGACTTGATGTCTCGCAAGTTAGACTTTCAAGACTTGGCAACTGTTACACTAACTCAGACCTGTAGTGTTGTCATGACAAGACCCATAGCTGAGAAGATATCCGACCCAAGGAGTTTTATAATCCCATGCACAATAGACAGCTATGCTTTTGCTAAAGCATTGTGTGATTTGGGGGTAAGCATAAACTTGATGCCCTTGTATATCTATAAAAGATTAGGCATTGGAAGAGCAAGACCCACATCCATGTTACTATAGCTAGCCGACCGAACGGTGAAAAGGCCATTAGATATACTTGATGATGTACTTGTGCAGGTTGGAAGTTTTTGTTTCCAGCTGATTTTGTCATTCTAGACTGCGAGGTTGATGAAGAGATTCCCATAATTTTGGGAAGGCCATTCTTGGCCACAGGGACAGCCCTGATTGATTGTGAAACTGGGGAGTTAAAGATAAGATTAAACAATGAATAAATAACAATCAACGTGCAGAAGTCTATGCTGCAACCCAGTGAGTTTGCTAATTGCTCTCTAATTGAAGTCGTGGATGTGATTCTGGACGAGGAAGATGAGGCACTGAACACAAAAGACCCTATAGCAGCCTGCCTAATGAACGTAGAAGAGGTAGATAGTGAGGACTTAGGGGAGTGGGTTTTGGACCTTGAAGGCCAAGGGTACTAGAAAAGATAGCTCGAATTCGAGACTTTACACTTAAAAGAAAGAAAGACCCCTCTAGCTAAGCCATCAATTGAAGAGCCACCACAGTTGGAGCTAAAACTGTTGTCGTCCCACCTCAGGTATGCTTTCTTGTGACCTAGTTCGGCATTACCTGTTATTATCTCATCTGGTTTGTTAGATGTGCAGGTAGAACAACTTTTGCAGGTTTTGAAGGAGTGCAAGACCGCAATTGGGTGGAACATTGCAGACATAAAGGGTATCAACCCAATATTTTGTATGCATAAGATTCTACTGGAAGATGGGCACAAACCTTTCAGAGAACATCAAAGAAGGTTGAACCCCAACATGAAAGAAGTGGTGAAGAAAGAAGTGATAAAGTGGTTAGATATAGGAATCATCTTCCCCCTCTCTGACAACAACTAGGTCAGTCCAGTTCAGTGTGTGCCAATGAAGGGTGGAATAATTGTAGTGCAAAATAGGAACAACAAGTTGATCTCAATAAGAACAGTCACAAGATGGCGAATCTATATGGATTACAGAAGATTGAACAAAGCCACCCGAAAGATCATTTTTTGCTACTATTCATTGATCAAATGTTAGATAGACTGGCGGGAGGTCCCATTTTATCTTCCTGGATGGATACTCGAAGTATAACCAGATCTCTATTGCCTCGGAGGATAGAGAGAAAACGTTGTTCACCTATCCGTATGGCATCTATGCCTTTCGGAGAATGTCGTTTGGCCTATGCAATGCACTGGCCACATTCCAAATATGCATGATGGCCATCTTCACAGATATAGTAAAGGACATAATGGAGGTTTTCATGGATGACTTCTTAGTGGTGGGGAACTCATTCGATGATTGCCTTATGAACTTAAAAAGAGTATTGAAGAGGTGTATGGAGATTAATCTGGTACTGAACTGGGAAAAGTGCCATTTTATGGTATAGGAAGGTATAGTCTTGGGACACCTAGTGTCAAATATGGGCATTAAGGTGGACTGTGCTAAGGTTGATGTAATTGAGAAGTTACCTTCACCCAATTCCATCAAAGCCATAAGAAGTTTCCTTGGTCACGCCGGCTTCTATAGGCGATTTATAAAAGCTTTTTCCAAAATTTCTAAAACTTTCTGTAAATTGCTTGAAAAAGATCACCCCTTTGTATTTTCTGATGACTGCAAAGTAGCTTTTGAGGAGTTGAAGAAAGAGACAGGTGACTTTACCAATCATAGTGGCACCTGACTGGGAACAACCTTTTGAGCTGATGTGTGAAGCAAACGACTATGCTGTGGGAGCAGTCCTTGGGCAGAGAAAAGATAAAGTCATGCATCCAATATACTATGCAAGTAGAACCTTGAGTGGTGCCCAACTGAATTACACAGTAACCGAGAAAGAGATGCTAGCAGTGGTGTTCGCATTTGACAAATTCAGGTCATACCTGATAGGTTCGAAGGTAATTATTTATATTGACCATGCTGCTCTCAGGTACCTAATTAGAATAAGGAGTCAAATTCGTGCCTAATTCGATGGCTGCTACTGCTGCAAGATTTCGATCTGGAAATCCGTGACCAAAAGGGAATGGAAAACCAAGTAGTTGATCACTTATCCAGGCTTGGAGGAGCTGAAAAGAGGGTTGAGGTGCAAGAAATCGTGGAGGCTTTCCCATATGAACAACTTTTAGCCACGAGCCTTAAGGTAGCGCCATGGTATACCGATATTTCAAACTACCTGGCGAGCGGTATTGTTCCCTATGATTTGTCCTCTATGCAGAAGAAAAAGTTCTTTCATGATTATCGCATGTATTTCTGGGATGAACCATATTTGTTTAGGATTTGTATTGATAACATGATACGGAAATGTATTCCCGAGATAGATCAAGCTTCTATTTTGCAGGCAAGTCATGCTTCGCCTTATGGAGGCCATTTTGGAAGAGTAAGGACAGCTGCTAAAGTGTTGGAGTCGGGCTATTATTGGCCGACATTGTTTAAAGACGCAAACTTTTGGGTAAAGGGTTGTGATGAGTGCCAACGGACGAGGAATATTTCCCGACGACATGAGATGCCCATGAACCCAATTCAAGAGGTGGGAGTATCTGATGTATGGGAAATTGATTTTATTGGACCATTTGTCAGCTCATATGGCAATAAGTACATACTGGTAGCTGTGGACTATGCTCGAAATTGGGGTAGAAGCCGTGGCATTCCCAACAAATGATGCAAAGGGAGTTATTGGTTTTCTAAGACAAAATATCTTCACCCCATTTGGCACTTCAAGAGTGATCATCAGTGATGTAGGCACCCACTTCTGCAACCGAGCCTTTGCAAAGTTGTTGGAGAAATATGGCATTCGCCATAAGGTTGCCACTCCGTATCACCCACAAACTAGTGGGAAAGTGGAGGTTTCAAACAGAGAAATCAAGAGTGTTTTGACCAAAACTTGAACTGCTACTCAGATTGATTGGGCAAAAAAATTGGATGATGCACTATGGACCTACCGCAGTGCATTAAAAACTCTGATTGGTATGTCCCCGTACAAATTGGTGTTTGGAAAGCCATGCCACTTACCAGTGGAGTAAGAGCATAGAGCTTTTTGGAAATTAAGGCAATTAAGAGCCCGTTTGGATTAGCTGGAAAAAAGTAGCTTTTAAGCACTTGTGCTTAAAAGCAGCTTTTAAGTGCTGAAACTTGTTTTATAAATAAGCAGTTACCTGTTTGGATAAAAGTGCTGAAGCTTAAAAAAAGCTGTTGAAGTGTTTGGTAAACAAGTGCTTGTAAGAACTTTTTTCTGTTAAAAAGACAGAAATATCCTTAAAGCTGTTAACATTATAAAAGGAGCTGATTACTACAATATACTTGATTCATAAGTAATGCAAACAAAAAATAATTTATATTTTAATTTAAATAATTACTTAAGATAGTTTTTTTTATTTGTTTGTCAAGAGTATTTGTTTTTCAATAGTATGTTAATGACGTTTTTCAAAAAATAATTTATATTTTAATTTAATTTTAATTTACCCGTTTCCTTATTTTTTTCAATGACGTGAATATTAGGTATAAATGTCTACATAACAAATTCAAATTATAAATGACTTTCATGAGATTATGAGTGTCGCCAGTTATGTTACATATGTTTGTCAAGAGTATTTGTTTTTCAATAGCCTGTTAAAGTCAACCTGCAATTAGTACAAAATAATATTTCTCAATTGAAATGTAAAATAATAAATATTAGTGTTTTAAAAGATTCATATAAACTACAAGTATCAAGCTTCACAAATTTCATTAGCAATCAAATCGCGAAGACCCATCCAAACAAGATCACTTTGCTCTTCCACATTTTTCGCATTTATATTGTTATTAGCTCTCAAAGATGTACCAACATCAGGATCAACAGATGGAACATATCTCTCATTCTCAGCTGCTCGGAATGCATCATCCATATTGCATTTCTTTCTAATATAGTTATGAATGGCCATGGTAGCAAGTACGATGTCTCTTTGAGTGTCAATGTGATAGAAAGGCATGTCTCGCAAAAATAGACCATCTTGCTTTCCAAACCCCAAATGTGCGCTCTACAATATTTCTACAAGAAGAATGCAAATAGTTAAATTTTTCAATTCGCCCTCTTGGTTCTCGCAATTGTCTTGTTGCACCGCGGCGGAATTGTGCTAGGTGATATCTCACATTATCTCCTTTGTATGGAGCCATATATCCCTTCATGTGAGGATATCCTGCATCAACTAGATAATACTTGTTTCCAATTGGATGTGGAAAGTTTAGTTCTGGTCTACGAAGGGCCTCACCAAATATACGACTATCGTGAGCTGCTCCTTCCCACCCAGCCCATGCAAATGTAAAACACATATTAAAATCTACGACAACAAGAATATTTTGAGTCGGATAACCTTTACGTCCAATATATGGTATCTCTTGACCTTGCGGTAATCTTGCTTTAACATGTGTTCCATCAAGTGCTCCAATACAATCCTACATACATTTACAAGTATAAATTTAACTTAAGTTAGTAATACATATAAAAGTTAAGTTATAAATTTAATAAAAAATAATTATGTAAAAATATTTCTTACTCTAAAGAAAGGGAGATATCGACCATTACATGGCTTGTGAGCTCCTGTACCATCATTATAATTTTGATGTGGTCTAATTATATCTCTTGCAAGCTCACAAATCGCCTTTAAAACACTATGAAAGTGTCTATGAATTGTTTCTCCCGAATGTTGAAAGATTTCCTGTATCAATCGATTTCCAGCTCCATGTGCACAAGTCATCAAGAACATGCCTAACATCTCGTGTATAGACATTCCACGTGTGGGTTTAAGCCCATACTTTTCAGTTAAGTCATTCGATAGATCAACAAACACCGACTTCCTCAATCGAAAATTTTCATAACAATGAGTCTCGTTTCCTCTTAATATCTCTTGAATAAATGCATTTCCGGAGCGACTAGATGTACGACAAGGTTCCTTGCATAGGTATTTTTTGTAATACATCAATATCAATTTACCTGCTATTTGACATAAAGCAGTCCATTCCTTCTCATCTTGCTCCCTCTGTATTTCCTCCAGTTCTTCTTCATCTTCATCGTCTGACGAATAAATTGAATAAGGATTTATTATGTCACTAGAGTTTGAACTCTTCATTTAACTGAAAATAAAAACATAAGTAAAGAGGAGTTAAGAACTAAAAGCTTTACTAAATAAAAACATAAGTAAAGCTAACTAAATTCCCTCTGAATTTGTAAGTTAGCTTTACAAATTGATACGCTAACTAAAAGCTTTACTAAAAGCTTTACAAATTCATAAGCTTTACAACTGAAGCTAGTTTTTAACATTTAACATAAATGTTACCTGAAGCTTAACAATAGTAAGCTTAACAAACAAAATTTTTAATTTAATAAAAGTTTAGTCATACAATCACAACATCTAAATACATAAAACTATAATAAAGTTTACACATAAATGGTATTGTTTCCACTTTATAACCATCCTATGCCAACACTCACATGAAGAAACTTAAGTACACAGTCACTGAACTACAACCTTGCACTACAACACTCATCATAAACTAAGCTGGAACTCTTACCGTTCTAATGATTCAAGGATAAATATTATTCAAATCATAAGCCACCAAACTTGATAAGAGTGGAAAAGGTACAGTATTGTTACAACTTTCTACTACATTAATACCTATAAGAAACAAACAGCTAAATAAAGATTAACGATTGCCTGGTGATATGTGCCCTTCAAAGCTCTGAATATGTCATGCTTGAGAACTATCAAAAGCACAGAGCATCTCTTAATTCTATTTCTGTATTGGGAAATAGATGTTAGTCATTTGCATATCCTTTTACTTATTTTTTAAATTTTTTGTGGACATACATCAAATTATGGCAAGCTGTATCAGGAACTATGTGTGGTTGGACTTGAGCTGAAGAACCACTCAAGTTTATTTTTCTACACTGTGACAATAGCTTTAGAAGCCAACGGCTAATAGCTGGGAACTTTTCTTGATAATTATAACCACCGAGATAAAATTAAAGTTTGTGTAAATGGAAACACATAAAAAGAGAAGTGCCAATTTAGAGTCATAAAGATGAGATTGTAAGTTTTGGCGAATAAAACACAACATGGAAACTGTGACTAAAGATTTTGTGGTAACTTGAAACTGAAAGATACTTCAATATTGTGAAGAACACAAGATATCAGAATCCAATTTAAACAAAAATATACAATAAGGATCGAGAAGAACTTACAACGATAATTGATTTTCCACCGAATTGCTTGAAGAAAAGCGCAGAAAATTTAAAGATGAAGCAGAGATCGATGAGGATGAAAGGAGACCGCAGTCTTCAAAGTTCAAACTGAAGAAAATAGGAGAAACACAATGATTTAGGGTTTCTTTGACGGGGGGTAATTTTGGTATTATAAAAACTTATAAGGGACAGGAGCGTAATTTCACTGGTCAAACCAAAATGGCTTTTAAGCTAAAATAAAAAAAGTTGGGGTAGACCAACTTGTTGCTTTTAGCTTTTTTTAAGCACTTTTTTGCTTTTTTTAAGCACTTTTTTTTTTTATTCAAACACTCCATCCATAAAAAAGTGCTTAAAAGCTGGTTTGACCAGCTTTTAAGCCCATCCAAACACCCTCTTAGTAGAGTGAGCATTCAGCTCTCTTGTTGTTTTATTGTTGTTATCGGGATAACCTATTTTACCAATTGCACCCTTATACTTTGTGGAGGTTTTATGACCCCTTATCATTGTTTGAAATGTAATAAATAACACCCTCCGAGTCTACGTGGCATAAAGAGTGTATCTCACTAGCATAAAAACGTTAAAATTATACTTTTTAAAATTTTATTGTGGTTAACTGTATTTTCCTAATATTTTTTTTCCCCATCTTTTTCTTTTCTTTCTTCAAGCGTTGCCAAGGGAGCCATTAACGAAGTAAAGAAGCTCAAAAAGAGGGATTTCAATGACTTGTAAAATTTTATTTTTCTCTTTGGAAGTCATATTTAGAGAAATTCTTTTTCTGATATTTTATCTGTTAATCAAACAAAAAAAGTAGTAATTTTTTTAGGAAGGTTAATGTAAGCACGTGTCGTCCTTGGGGATTGTCCACTAGTCAAGTACATTGCCTATTCAAATTACAGTGTCATTAGTCAANGGTATGTTTCTTTTGGTTTTATATTTTTTCTGTTGTCGAAGATTCATTCTTCTTTATAACTTTACAAAGCAAGTATTGTTGACTTGTAATTTCTGCACCCATTTCTAAGAGCACAGATCAATTAACAAAAACCAAGAAAAATAAAATTATGAATAAAGTCTGTTTGAAATCAACTTATGTGGAACAAAATTTCTAAGAGCACAGATCTTTTTTCATCCATAAGGGGGCGTGATTGAAGCTGATAGGTGATGATTACTGTGCGATGTAAATACTGCTCGACAACATGTATAATCAAATCAGTAAAATTTTCCAATTCAAACAAAAATATACAATTAAGGATCGAGAAGCACTTACAACGATAATTTCGCTGGTCAAACAATAATTTTGTGAGATGGCTATTGGATAATCTCGTTCAAAGAAAGAGCTTCCTTAAAGATGAAGGAGAGATGATGAAGATGAAAGGAGAGGCAGTCTTCAAAGTTCAACGGAAGAAAATATGGGAAACACGATGATTTAGGGTTTCTTTTACCGGGGGCAATTTTGGTATTATAAAAAGTTATAAGGGACAGGAGGGTAATTTCGCTGGTCAAACCAAAATGGCTTTTAAGCCAAAATAAAAAAAGTTGGGGTAGACCAACTTCTTGCTTTTAGCTTTTTTTAAGCACTTTTTTGCTTTTTTTAAGCAGCTTTTTTTATCCAAACACTCCATCCCATAAAAAAGTGCTTAAAAGCTGGTTTGACCAGCTTTTAAGCCCATCCAAACACCCTCTAAATCTTGACATAGAGGCAACTGGTACAAGTAGAGTCACATAGCTTCATGAACTTGATGAGTTCTGTTGCCATGCTTTTGAGAGCACCAGGTTGTACAAAGAAAGGATGAAGATGATGCACGATAAGCATATTCAAGAAAGGATTTTCAAATCCGGAGATGTGGAGTTATTGTATAATTCAAGATTGAAATTATTTTTGGGTAAGATGAAATCTAGATGGTCGGGACCATTTAGAGTTTTGCAAGAATTCTCAAGTGGAGCTGTAGAAAATTAATCCGAGGATGGAACGAACAGGTTTAGAGTCATTGGTAAAAAGTTGAAACATTACCTTGGCATGGATGAGGAAAATGTTGTATCGGTGATTCATTTGAAGGAGCCTCAAATGTTGAGTGAACCTTGAGTTCGATTGCCTACATCAAGCCGCGATGTTAAATCAGGCTCTTCGTGGGAGGAAACCTATTGTAATATTGTATTCGTCATGCCGTGACGTTAATTAAGGCGCTCGTTGGGAGGCAACCCAATTCGTAGTTTATTTTAGCTTAACTAGAATTTTGTTTTTGTTTTTAGGCACTAACAAGTTTTTTTAGTTAAATCTTGGTGTTTGAACATGCATTGGAGCACGTTGGAGGTCATAACGCTTGGAGTAGTTCACAAAATTGAATGAAAACCACGTGCATACGTTCCGTACCTCGCCAAGTGAGGCAAGAATCACGTCAAATAGCTGGCATCGCGCGCTCTAAATTGCCCTGGACCTTGCGGCCTACCTCGCGCCACACAGTCTGTACCTTCGCGTCGCCCAGTCTCTGGCTCGCTGCCCACCTCGCGTCGTCTGGGCTGTAGTGAGATCCACCCCGCGGCAGACCTCGCGGCGCCAAGTAAGTTCAAATATTTTTTTTTAATTTCTTCTCTTCTTATTTTATTTTCTTAAAACACCTACCCTTAATTAAACAACTACCCGCCCAGCCCTTCCCAAACATAACACACGCCCAACCTTATGTAAACACACTGCCCTACACACACACACGTTCCTTTTCCCTCTCCAAACACCCACTGCCAGCCTTCCTCTCCCTCTCTCACTTACAAGAACTCCATTAAAAGTTCATACATTCCTCCACTCACACTCACTAGCAATATCAATTGAAGAGCAACCTCCCTCCTAAGCATCTAAGGTATCGTTTCTAACTCTTTTCTTTGTCAAATTTCGAATTGGGCGAAGTGATCGGATAACTTTTGGGTATGTTCTTCATAGTAACAATGTGCTTGTTTTTCCTAACCCCATAAACCCCATAGGAATGGTATTGTTGTTGTTTACAAGGGTGGTAGCACGAAATTCCAAGCCGATTTGGTAGAGTGAGGTAACCCCTCATTCCTACAAGCACTTCCATGGCACTAGTGCACGCTAAGTATTTGTCAAAATGCCTCAAAGGCATTCTTTTTCCCCATTGGAGCCTGAGTCTCCGGGATTGTAATACTAGTTCTATGTCTTCATGCACCCCTTGGAATCTTAAGTGTGGGGTGGGGAACCGTAGCCGAGATGGTAGCTATATGCATCGCGATAGTAATATACATTGTTGTGCCATTGATTGATTCTCATGCAAAAATAACGAGGTGAAATTTGAGCCTCAAAAATTGTGAATATCATGTGATGAACTCTTAACAATGGGGTCATAATATCATGTTTTGAATTATTCAATGTCTCTAAGGCGGACTAATGTCTACTTGTGTAGGTACAAATATGCCTCCTAAGAAGGACAACGATAAAGGAAAGGGCTAGGCCATTGCTCTTACCAAAGCCAAGGCTTCCTCCGCACCTCCACCGAAAAAGAGTAAAGGAGGGGAGGCCACTTCAAGTCAGGTTGAGGGGTTGCAAGCAGTTGCAGCTATAGCAACCTCACGCCCACAACCTGCGGGACAGTGAGAATTTGGTTATACCCCCGTCTTCCAAGGACTGGTACAAGCTTTGTCGGCCGAGACATATACACTCTGAGTCAGCGGTTCATGAGCGCCATCTAAAATCTAAGTATCAACCAATTTAGAAAGGTATTCATGATCTTGGATTGAGCTACTATTTGGAAACACTGGGGATATCAACGTAAACCTTGTCCGTGAGTTTTACGTCGGTTATGATCCGAATAATCATGAGCAGCTAGTGCCTATTCGGGGGAGGTAGATTGATTTTTCTGCATCAGCTATATGCAATTACTTGGG